GTAAGAACATCCAGATGGAATTCAATGAAGAAGAACTACAAAAAAAGATCGAACAGATCACTCGGGAAATTCAAGAGACGAAGGAAGAAGGGCTCAGAGTCTACATGGCCACCGAAATCTACAAAGTTGCAACTGTGACACTGGATGAGGATCTGGCATCACATGTGAAGAGAAAGAAATATTTTTATATAGAGATAGAGGACTTGCAAGAGAAGCTGGACATGCTTCGATTGAAAGTGCAAGAAAAAGAAGCGAGAGAGGCGAGGGTAGAATCAGAAACCGCCACTCTATTAGCCAAAAGCGTGTCACTTGATGAGGAGATAACCGTGGAAATTGAAAAATTCACATCCATGAAAGAAAGGATGGCCGCAATGAGGAAGAAGAACAAAAACTTCCATAGCAACATGATAGATAAACTTCAGGAAATGCGTGAAAAATACCCCGTCTATGAGCAAGGGGCTAATAGTGGTCTCTATAACGCTCACCCTGGAGCGACTGGGGAAGACGAAGATGAGGAAATCGTCTACAAACCTCCATTCCTGGTCCATCTGAAAGGAGGAGATTAATGCTGCAACAAGAAGGAAAATGGCTAACGTGTCGTCATCATTTTATCTTTAAAAAAAACTCTATTGTTTCCTTTCAATTCCCTTGTAATCACAATGAACGAATGAATGAAAATGTTTATCCTGTACTTGAACTATATTGGGCCTTAATTTTCCTTGTGATATACGTAGGCAGCCTTCCTAGGCTCGGCCTTTATCTTTAAAAATTTTCATTCTCCCCCTTCATGTTACGAGAAGATACGAAGTCCAGATCAACGGACATCAAAGAGCAGCTGCAAGAAGATCGTAGCTCAACATGATTTAGCCTTTCTGAGACAGTGTCAAAACTAAAATAAGTGAACTCTTGCTTGCTAAAAAATGTATTCCCGTCCTTACTCATGAGTTGAAGATATCCTCAAACAAAGCGACTTGTGTGTTTATCTGCTCTTTGTGTGATATTATGCATTTTGTATTCTGAATTTGCACTGACAAATCTGCCTTTGAGTTGTTTTCCCTCTCAGGTACTTTGAAACTGATCTGTGTCGATTGAAAGCTGGCAGATTATCACTATTTCACTAGATCGAAGGGTCCCGTAGATTCTTTTGCTAAATGAGCTTCAAACAAAAGAAAGACAGTCATGGGAGATAGTAATGAAGAAATGAGTCTTACCGATGTTGTGGTGGCTGAACCCACCGTAGCGGACCAGAATGAGTTGATTCTGCAACTGATGCAACAGATTGCAGAGATGAGGGTATAAATGCAAAAGATAAAGGATCTGCCTCCACCAAGTTTTGCTGCTAACGCTGCTGATGGGAGACCTCCAATCTACTTCCCTCCTTCAAATACAGATCCGTCCCAGAACCAGCCATCTACACCTGCTCAGAATCCGTCGATTATAGATCTAACTTCCCAAAATCCCCAATTTGTGTCCGCATCCTACCAAACTCCATCTCCTCCTCAAAACAACCACCCCCAAATGCCACCCTATCCTCAAAATACCCATCATCAAAGCACTCCACCACCGCAAAATCAAAACCAAAATATTTTCAATCCTCAAACACCCCACCACCACTTAAATTAGAATACCAATTCACAGACTTATCCACATAATTATCAAACCGCTTAAAATGCCAGAGTCCTTCTATATCTCCATCCTTACCCAAAAGAACCACTTTCCAAATCCCCGTCCTTGACGAGCACGATGTGTATGATTCTGAGCTGGACCATTATGAAGAACAGGAAAAGGAGCGGAGGGCTAAAAAGAGGTAAATGTCGACGTAAAAGAAGAGATCAAGAAGGACATGAAAGAGCTCCAATGCATCCCTGATACCGCTGGGCTTAGTTATGAAGACTTATGTATTCATCCAATGTTGGACCTTCCATAAGGGTTCAAGATCCCGAAGTTTAACACCTTCGGAGGAGTGGGCAACTCTATGACTTATCTGAGAAACTACTGTGACCAGTTGGTGGGAGTTGGAAGGGATGAAGCATTATTGATTCGGCTCTTCAGCTTAAGTTTTAGCGGCAGGCTTTGGAGTAGTTCACCTCGCATGAAACCAGGCAATGGCGCAGCTGGAATGCATTGTCCAAAGATTTTATCGATCGATTCGCTTACAACGTATAAATTGTTCCAGATCGATACTCTTTGGAAAAGATAAAGAAAAAATCAACCGAGAGCTATGGGGAGTTTGCCTATAGATGGAGAAAAGAAGCGGCGAGGGTGAGACTGCCCATGTTTGAAAAAACATTGTAGTAGTGTTCATATGGGTGCAAGAGCCCGAGTATTATGATTGAATCTGTTATTTATAGGAGCAAAGTTTGCCGAAATAGTCAAAGTTTGTGAGACTATCGAAGACGGGTTGAAAACAGGGAATATAGCTTGTGTTGTTGCATCGTCGAATCATCAAGAATGTTGAAGAAGAAAAGAGAAAAAATCACTACAGTTTCGTACGGGAGAAAGAAAAACCCCAGAAGCTCGTCATATTCCCAAGGTCGTTCTCGCCCTTCTCAAAATTCCCACAAAGCTTGCTACATGCAAGCTAGTCATCCCAATAATCCTCCAATTTATCACAATTCTACCTCCACTTAGCCAAACGTCCAAGCTCCACTATACCAAAATTTACCCCCGAATTACCAAAATACATCTCCCATTTACCCAAATCATCCTCCACCCTATCAAATTTCATCTCCCTACCAGGGTGTTGCTCCCAACTATGCTAATATGCAGCGAGATACCGAGCACCCCCTCCTGCGTATCAATTCCAAGCTCCACCATATAAAATTCCCTACCCAAACTACCAATCTCTAATGCCAAACTACCAAACAAACTCATATCCCAGGAATCAAACTCCCCGTCCGAACAATCGAGGTTATCAACAGATGCCTCCCCCACAAGGAGGTTATAATCCCCCTCGACCTTGGTTAGAGAAGAAACCTTCAAGGAATTTCACCGCGCTTGCAGAAAGACGAACAAAGATGTATGAGCGACTAGCTGCGACTGGATATATCCATCCAGTGGGACCCTAGCTCGGTTATATCAATTCAAAATTCTATAGGCCAGATCAGAGGTGTACTTATCATTCCAACAGTGTTGGGCATGATATTGAGGACTGTATCAACCTCAATCACAAGATTCAGGATTTAATCGACCAAGAGGTGGGTTCTCTCAAACTAGCTACACGTAATGGCAATACCAATCATTTGCCAAATCATGGAGGCGGCAACGTCAGTATGATAGAAACAGACGATGATTGGTGTGGGATGAAAGTGATAACTCCAATCATTCATGACGAGTTGGAAAAGGTTGTAACTTCCTTGAGCATCAAAGAGAAGAAATAGTTTGTTAACTTAACACCCGCAAAGGTTGTTGCCTTGGTGCGATCAAAAACTCTTACCAAGCTAAAATTTGTGATTGAGACTGCTGGTACACAAGGTATGACCCAATCCGGAAGATGTTATACTCTTGAGGAGCTTGCTCTCGGAGGTCAAAAGAAGGATCAAGATAAAAGGCCAATAAGCGAGGGTGAGGCAGAGGGATTCTGGAGAAGAATGCAGCCAAAAGATTATTCCATTGTCAACCATTTGGAGAAGACCCCACCTAGATTTCTGTATGGGCCCCGCTGATGAGTTCTCAATCGCACAGGCAAGCTTTGATGAAGTCTCTTGATGATACATATGTCCCCGTCGACACAAGCAATAATAATGTTGCCGCTATGGTTAACCAAGTCATCCGAGGGAACCGGATAAGTTTCAGTGACGATGAGTTACCTTTTGAAGGGAGGTAACACAACAAGGCGTTGTACATCACTATCGTATGCTGCGAGAAAGTCGTAAATCGTGTTTTTGTGGATGATGGATCTTGTCTGAATATTTGCCCGTTGTCAACACTGAGGCAGTTAAGTTTGACATTAGGAAGCTGCAACAAAACCAAGTCAATGTAAGAGCCTTTGATGGGGTTCAGAGAGATACATTGGGAGCAGTGAATATGATCATCCAAATGGATTTGGCAGAATTCAGTGTACAATTTCAAGTCTTGGACATCGTTACCAGCAATAAACTTCTTCTGGGAAGGCCTTTTATTCACATGGTTGGAGTTGTGCCTTCTACACTGCATCAGATGATGAAACTCGTTTGGAAGACGGAGAGCTATTCATTCATGGCGAAGTTAGTCATTCTGGAAGACAAGCACTGATTATAGATGTAGTGTCTCGAGGTACTGATATCTACACAGTGGATCTGGTAAATGCCACCGGTGAAGACTTGGCCCCACAGTCGTCTCATGCCTTCTGTGTATAAGATGATTTCTACTATGATGTTGCAAAGTTGATTTGAACCAGGTTTCGGATTGAGAAGGAATTCCTAAGGAATTGTTGAGCCCAGTCAAGTTCCCGTCAAAGGTGTGAGGTATGGCTTGGGGTACATACCCACAGATGAGGATGAGAAGAAAAAGAAGAAGAAGTATCAAGCATTGGCCAAGCCAATCCCTCATCTAGATCAATCATTTCCATTCTGTTAATATGCCAAGCAGGAGGACCTTGGGGAAGGAATCTGTGTCCTTTTTGAAGAGATTGATGTTATCATTAATCGAGCTGACAGAATTTTGTGATATTGCGCCATGAGAGATGCTGCAGAACTCGACCTCCACACCCATCCTGATCCCCCGAACTCCTTGGTAGAAGGGCATTATTTTATGCATATTTAAATCGGTGGTAGTCCGCAAGAGGACAGAGACCTATCATTTTGCATTTTCTTAACTGTATGAATTTTAATTTTCCATCGTGATGTTTAAAAAGGCAACGTGGCCCTAGGCCATGGCCAAAGTTTGCACCATTCTATCTAATTTGAAATGAAAGCCTCTTTTATTTTAAATTTTTTTAATTTACTCATCTTTTATACCTTGGTTACCTAACTTTGTTTGATAATGGTTTCATTAATGTAAGTTTTAAACCGGCCAATGTCATGTCATGTCACGATCTGAATGAACAAAATGAGTCTGGTGATGACGAGGTTGATGAATACAAAGAGGGAAGTGAGGCGTCGGAATATGTTACTGAAAGTTTCTGTAGTTTGAAAATCAGCATAAACCGATTTTAGAGGAAACTAAAACTGTAAATATAAGAGACCAAGACTGTGTCAAAGAGGTCAAAATCAGCATCTACTTGAATAAAGATCAAAGAAAGGCTAGGACTGAGTACCGATGTTGTATCTCACAAACTGCCGATTAATCCAGGGTTCAGTACGGTGAAGCAAAAGGCTCGAAAGTTCAAGCCTGAGTTGAGTATGAAGATCAAGGAACAAATTACCAAGCAGATTAAGTCTTTTCTGGTAGAAGTGACGCAATACCCGACATGGCTGGCCAATGTTGTTCCGGTTGCCAAAAAAGATGGGAAGATCAGAATTTGTTTCGACTATAGAGATCTCAACAAAGCTAGCCCAAAGGATAATTTTCCATTGTCAAACATTCATATTCTAATGGATAACTGTGCTAAGCATGAAATGTAGTCATTTGTGGATTGTTACGCAGGCTATCATCAGATTCTAATGGATGAAGAAGATGCAGAAAAGACAGTTTTTATTACACCTTAGGGTGTATATCAATACAGAGTGATGTCATTTTGCCTCAAAAATGTTGGTGCTACCTATATGAGGGATATGACGACCATATTTCATAACATGATTCATAAGGAGATTGAGGTGTATGTAGATGACATCATAATCAAGTCCCACTAGAGTTCGGACCATTTGACACATTTTAAAAAGTTCTTTGATCATATGCGTCGGTATAACTTGAAGTTGAATCTCGCTAAATGTGATTTTGGAGTACCAGCTGGCAATTTTTTGGGATTTATAGTTAGTAGAATAGGTATTGAGCTCGATCCTTCCAACATTAAGGCGATTCAAAAGTTACCTCCGTCGAAGATGAGAAAAGAGGTGATGAGTTTCTTAGGGAGGTTGAACTACATCAGTCGATTCATAGCTCAAACTATCGTGGTGTGTGAGCCTATCTTCAAGTTGCTGAAGAAAGACGCTCTGACAAAGTGGAGTTAAGAGTGTCAGACTGCTTTTGATGCTATCAAGGACTATTTGTCCAATCCACCGATATTGGTTCCTCCGCGATAAAGGAGTCCATTGTTGATGTATTTTTCTGTCTGAAATACAACATTCGGATGCGTACTTGGTCAACACGACGAGACACGAAAGAACAAAAGGAATATCTATTACATAAGCAAGAAGTTTACTCCATACGAGTCTTATTATACTCTGTTGGAGAGAACGTGTTGTGTTTTGACTTGGCTTGCCCAGAATTTGAGGCATTATTTATCTTCTTATACTACATACCTCATTTCCAGAATGGACCCATTGAAGTATATTTTCCCAGAGGAGATGTCGACCGAAAAGTTATCTAAATGGAAAATGTTGTTGAGCGAACTTGATATTGTGTATGTGACTCAGAAGGTGATAAAGGCACAAGCCTTGGCTGACCATCTTGCAAAAAATCCCGTTGACGAAGAATATGAGCCGCTCAAGACTTATTTTCACGATGAAGAAGTGTCATTTGTGGGTGAAGATATTTCTGAAGCATATCCAGGTTGAATACTATTCTTTGATGAAGTGGAAAATCATCAAGAGAAAGGTATTGGGGTGGTCTTAGTGTCAGAATCTGGTCAGCACTATCCTACGGCGGCTAAGCTCCAATTTAATTGCACGGACAACATGGCCGAATATGAAGCTTGTATCCTCGGTTTGAAAATGGCCATTGACATGAACGTTTATGAGTTATTGATTATCAGAGATTCAGATTTGTTGATTCATCATGTTAAAGGAGAATGGGCCGTGAAGAACTCGAAGATTATACCTTACGTGCAGTATGTACAGAATTTGTGCAAAAGATTTTGTAAGATCGAATTCATACATACTCCCAGAATACAGAATGAGTTGGCTGATGATATTGCCACCATTGCTTCAATTATCAAACATCCTTATACAGATTACATTGATCCTTTGGATATAGAACTGAAGAAACATCTTGTCCATTGTTAACATGTTCAAGCAGAACCGGATGGTTTGCCATGGTATTCTGATATAAAGAAGTATTTGGAGTCCCAGAATTATCCAGAATATGTTACATCCAACCAAAAGAGGTTGATACGCCTCATGGCGCTTAATTTCTTTCTAAATGGAGAAGTCCATTATAGGAGGACTCTAGATTTGGGTATTCTCATATGTGTTGATGCTTTTGAAGCTGCGAAACTTATTGAACGGATACATGCATGAGTTTGTGGCACACATATGAATAGGCTCACTTTGGCAAGAAAGATCCTTCGAGCCAGTTATTTCTGGATGACTATGGAGAATGATTGTTGCAAGTTTGTGCAGAAATGTCATAAATGTCAAGTGCATGGTGATTTGATCCGAGTGCCACCTCACGAACTTAATGCTATGAGTTCACCTTGGCCATTTGTAGCTTGGGTCATAGATGACATTAGTCCGGTAGAGCCATCCGCTTCAAATGGACACAGATTCATTTTGGTCGCCATTGATTACTTCACCAAGTGAGTGGAAGCAGCTTCTTACAAGTCGATAACTAAGAAAGTTGTAACTGATTTTGTTCGAAATAATCTGATATGCAGGTTTGGAGTACCGAAATCCATCATTACTAATAATGGTGCGAACATTAACAGTCACTTGATGATAGATATACGTGAGCAACTTAAGATTACTCACCGAAACTCAACTGCTTATCACCTCCAAATGAACGAAGCTGTAGAGACCGCCAATAAGAATATCAAGAAGATTCTGAGGAAAATGACAAAATGACTGACACTCACCGAGGTTGGCATGAGACGTTTCCATATGCTTTATTGGGTTATCGAACGATTGTTAGAATGTCGACTGGAGCTACTCCATACTTTCTAGTGTATGGAACAGAAGAAGTCATACCTGCTGAAGTTGAAACACCTTCATTGAGATTCATCCAAGAAGCTGAGTTGAGTAATGTTGAATGGGTGAGCAAGAGAATTGATCAGTTGATATTGATCGATGTGAAGAGAATGGTTGCTGTTTTTCATGGTCAGTTGTATCGACAGAGAATGATTCGTGCTTTTCACAAGAGAGTGAGAGCCAGAATTTTTGAAGTTGGTCAGTTGGTCCTTGAGCGCATTTTTCCTCATCAAGACGAGCATCAAATATAATTTGTGCCAAATTGGCAAGGTCCTTACATAGTTCGCAAAGTATTATCCGTAGGTGCTTTGTTCCTGTCGGATATGGATGACACTGAATGGCCAAAACCAATCAACTCAGATGTTGTCAAAAGATACTACGTGTGAAGTCAGTTTGTATTTCTGTCATTTATTTGCTTGTATTTGTTTTGCTTAAATTTTTATTCCTCTTTGTAATGAACTACTACTTACCTGAATTCTCAAGAATGAGATACGTAGGCGGCCTATGTCGGCCTCGGTCTGTTTCTTTGTAAGTTTCTTATTGTTGTTACCTTTGAGAGGGAACTACGTTTGACCTGATTCCTGCCTCAATAGGATATGTAGGCGCCACAACGATTTTGTTATATCTCCCGTGGGATTTCTATTCCATTTTACAATACAAACTGGGATAGAATTTTGAGAGGGACTAAAAATTCTCAAGAAAAATATTTTTCCTCAGCAAGTAAAGGCTGAAGATACTTCGAGATTTACAATTGGGACAGAATTTTTGAGAAGATCTCAAAAATTCAGCGATCTACTCAGTTACAATGGAAAGATAAGCAAGACAGTTAATTAGGATAGAAATTTTGAGGGTGGCCTCAAAATTTCAGCATGGATCTACAAGTCCGGAGTGACTCTGAAAAATCCTTAGCGAATAATCAGATATACCTCCAAGCATCAGGCTCAAAGAAGTTCGCTAAGCCTGACGTGACATGACATTTGGCGGTGACCTTTTTCAAAATATTACTTCTGAAAATTTATTTTCCTAAAAAGAAATTCCTTTTATGTTTCATTTGTTTTGACATAAAATATTTTATCTTCTCTATCAAGAGTCGGGAGATCGGGAAATCAACCGGAGATAGCGGGTCAAGGAGCAGACAAATGAAGAAATCAACACATATCAGTTCGTTTTTAAAAATACAATTTTTTTGTGGACGTAGGTTTATAGCTTTGCTCTGAAATCAGAAAACTCTTCCGATTGATGAATATGGAGAAGTCAAAGGAGGAAAAAACTATCCCAAAATCAATAGTTTTCCTAGAAGCAAGAATCATTTTATATCGCTTATGTCTGAGACTTGGGAATATGAATTGTTTATTTCAATCAATTTCCAACAACATGAAATTTATAAAGAACGTCCAGCTATATTCGAAGGTGAATCAAGCGAAAATCTCAAGGAAGAATTTACGGTTTCATTAAAGGACGTCATCTGCGTCATAATGTTGGATATGATACTATGAATTACCCGAAGGGGTCAGTTATTTTATTGTTGATCAAGACGATGCACTATCTAGAAGGCATTTTACGATTATCATCATTTGAGATGATATGATTATCCAGAAAGCACCCAGAAGATCACTATCTTTCTCGATTAAAGTACTATCTTCATTTAGTACCGAGGATGACATCGCGAGTCAATATTTATGCATCGCAGAAGATTATGCATCACGAGTCAATATCCATGTATCGCGGAAGATTATGCATCACGAGTCAATATCCATGCATCGCAGAAGATCATACATCGCGAGTCAATATCCATGCATCGCGAAAGATCATGCATCGCAAATCAATATATATGCATCACGGAAACATGCATCGCGAGTCAATATTCATGCATCGAGGAAGATCATGCATCACGAGTCAATATCCATGCATCACGAGTCAATATCCATGCATCACGAGTCAATATTTATGCATCGCGAGTTAATATCCAAGTATCGTGAGAAGATCTCATACCTTGCAGAAATTTATGCATCACGAGAAGATTCCATGCCTCGTTGTTATGCATCGCGAGAAGACTTCATACCTCGTAGAAATTTATGCATCGCGAGAAGATTTCATACGTCACAGAAATTTATGCATCACGACAAGATTCCATGCCTTGTTGAAATTTATGCATATTGAGAGGATTTCATGCGTCGCAGAAAAGTTATGCATCGTGAGAAGATTTCATACCTCGCAGAAATTTACGCTCGTGGAAAGATATTCATGCCCCTCCAGAAGCCATGCAATGCCAGATAGGAAATCGAACATCCCAAGAGAAATATTTATCCATCAGCATCAACTGCATTCTTTTATTTTGATAAAAGTAAACATCTAGAAGGGCATCGAAGACGACGTTAAGAGAAATACTAGCACACCGCATCAACTTTCCTTTATGTTGACATCAAATGAAGTAATACATTGAAGATTATATTGCAAACATAGGACATAAGCTTTATTTTCATTACGTCAAACCAATCGAGTTGACGTCAAATGTCGAGGAGAATAATTAAGTGTCGACATGGTAAAAGACACTGTCTCCC